GCCTCCCAAGTAGCTGGGACCACAGGCGCCCGCCACAACGCCCGGCCATTCTTTGGTTACAGCCATCATTGTTGTTTTGGCGGGTCCGGGCTGGGGATTCGAACCCGCCACCTTAGGTGTACGTGGCTGGCGCCTTAGCCGGCTGAGCTATAGGCACCGAGCCAACAGGTGTGACTTTGTAAGGTGTGACTTTTATTCATTTAACTTCAACTTTTAGCTCTAGTTACCCACAAACAATTTATCCTTGATAAAACTTCAGAAGACAAAAGACAAGTAAAAGAATTAATTTAAACAACGTTCAAAAATCTAGGTCTTAAAGCTGAGAAGTCTCCTATTTTAGATATACAGAACCAAAACAACAAAACAGATTTCCTATAGTCTTTAAAACAGCATCTCTTCAACGTAATGATCCGGGTATATGTGGAGGAGTAGAGTGGTATCTATGAAATTAAGATATAATTCACACACCAAAATCCACTCTTTAAAAGCACACAATTCAGGGTGGCACCTGTGGCTCAGTGGGTAAGGCGTGGGCCCCATATACCAAGGGTAGAGGGTTTGAACCCGGCCCCAGCCAAACTGTAACAAAAAATAGCCAGGCATTATGGCAAGCACCTGTAGTCCCAGCTACTCAGGAGGATGAGACAAGAGGATCACCTAAGCCCAAGAGTTGGAGGTTGCTGTGAGCTGTAACGCCACAGTACTCTACCGAGGGAAACAAAGTAAAACTCTGTCTCAAAAAAAACCAAACATAATTCCATGGCATTTGAAGTATTCACTAAGTTGTATGAACATCCCCACAATTAGTTTAAAAATATTTTTTATTTATTCATTTATTTTTTTTGAGACAGAGTGTCACTTTGTCACCCTCAGTAGAGTGCTATGGTGTCACAGCTCATAGCAACCTCCAGCTCTTGGGCTTAGGCTATTCTCTTACCTCAGCCTCCCAAGAAACTAGGACCACAAGTGCCTGCCACAAAGCGTGGCTATTTTTTTTTTTTTTTTAAGAGACAGAGTTTCACTTTACTGCCCGCGGTAGCATGCCATACATAGTGTCATAGCTCACAGCAACCTCCAACTCCTGGGTTTAGGTGATTCTCTTGCCTCAGTCTCCCAAGCAGCTGGGACTACAGGCGCCTGCCACAGTGCCCAGCTAGCTTTTTGTTGCAGTTTGGCCGGGGCTGGGTTTGAACCCTCCACCCTCGGGTATGGGGCCGGTGCTGCCCATGCACAGCTGTGTTTTGTTGCAGTTTGGTTGGGGCTGGGTTTGAACCCACCACCTCTGGTATATGGGGCTGGCGCCCTACTCACTGAGCCACAGGCACCACCCCATATATAAACTCTTAATCCACATAAATCTACGACTTAAATTCCATAACCAAGTCCAGCAATCAGCCTTTTGGTACCAGTAGCCCTAAACAACCTTCTAGTTAAGTATCCTTCTACTATAATAATGTAAATTCATTACTATACAGTATGAAAAATAATAAGATTCAGTTTTCTAGAAACAAAATAATGTGAACCATTTCAATTTACGATGATCCAAAAAATAAAAGGTGAGCTATATCTGTACATAGTGCAGTGATTTTAAGGAAAAGAGAGAGGAAAATATTTCTGGCTCACTTAATTTTAAGTGAATGCTCTACTCTCCATATCCTATGCATGACTCTCAAGTCAACTGAGATTGGGATCTACATTCTACGTTTACCTAGGAAGGGCATTCTCGTACCTTTTTGCTCACCTGCTCAAACTTAACTTTCAATCTTTTACAATCATATTCACACATATACATTAGGAGAAATTACACTATTACTCAATAAAGATTACTTTCCCTAAAATTTACTCACCAGAACTGAAAAGATCAAGCTGTTTTTCTTTTTTTTTTTTTTTTTTTGAGACGGAGTCTCAAGCTATCCCCCTGGGTAGAGTGCCATGGCATCACGCTCACAGCAACCTCCAACTTCTGGGCTCAAGCGAGTCTCCTGCCTCAGCCTCTCAAGTAGCTGGGACCACAGGCGCCGGCCACAACGCCTGGCAATTTTTTGGTTGCAGCCATCATTGTCGTTTGGCGAGCCCAGGTTGGGGATTCGAACACGCCACCTTAGGTGTATGTGGCTGGCGCCTTAGCTGCTTGAGCCACAGGCGCCGAGCCGATCAAGCTGTTTTTCCCCAAAATTCTCTATCTATATATGAAAAGATAGCTCTTTATTATATGACTATTATCCTCTTATAGACATCCTGAGTTTTCATGTTTCCTGGGTCTAAAAAAAAACGCTAACCTTAAATATACACAAAGCTTTGCCTCCAAATCTGAATTATCTTGTAAGTATTTAGGGGATGAGAGATAGCTATGTGCCAGCAATGTTTTTAGTTCTGACCTTTGTTAAGGTGAAGTAGCTGGGGCATAGAGGACACAGCAGATCAGAGAAATTCTTAAGGATGTGTTAAAAATGGTGAGTTAATTTTTTTAGTTGGAAACTAGTCGGTAATATTGAAAGTATGTCTTGGTCAGGATTTAAGACAGAAGAGAATGATAGGACAAGCTGGGGAGTACGTAATCTAACTAAAAACACCTACAACCAAAACGTGAAAGATGTTGCAAAGGCCAGTTTGCAGCCTCTGCTCCAATCTCACCTCTACACTGGTCAGCACATGCTCTGTAGAGAAGCACTGGTTCAATTCTAATTTCATTAGAAACTCTCTTGCTTTACTGATGGAGAAAGGCAGAGGCACAGAGGTCCTACGAAGATTTGCATTTACCCTCTATTTTCCCTCACAGTGCGTAACACACCTTGTTATTTTATAGATTACTCAGATTTCCATAGGATTTCAGATTCAGGTGTTTCAAAACAAAATAACAATGAAAACCCTTTACAAACCTTATGCTTCCTCTTGCCTTTGTTGGAAACTTTTTCTGAGGCTTGTTTCTGAGCTTCTCTTGTGTGCTTTTCTGGCACATTTTTCTTTTCCCCCTTGGGTGGCTCTGTTTCTTTGTAAGGCTTTCCTGGTATTCTAGTCAAGAGATTCAGGTCAATCTTCACAATAAGAGGATACCTATCATCAGGCTCACTGAGGGGGGAAAGAAGTTCCTTCTCTTCCATAGGAGAGAACATTCGTTGCCGGAAAAAGCTATCTTCTTCCTCCACTGAGGAGGGTTTAACAGGAGTCCTATTGCTCTCTGGGTACTTAGGAGTTTGTGAGGAAGGAGGAAGGCTCTCACTTTCATCTGAATCTGAAGAAGAGGTATCAGTTTCTATGATTTCCCTTGATTTCTGGGAAGATTTACTCGTGGATTTGTATTTCTTTTTCTCTGCTGTAGGTCGAGGGGAAGACTTAGACTCCTTCTTTATATTGGGTTTCCTTGAGCCTTTGGTGGCAGCTTTGTGTCTGCTGGGGGGCATGCTGGTAGCTATATCGACAGGGGTTTCGCTCTCTATCTTTAGGCCTCCACGAGGCTCATCCACAGCTGTCTTCTCAGCCTTTTTGGGTTGCTTTTTGCCTACAGTTCTCCTCTGTGTTGTGCTGTCACTCTGTGCAGGGGATTTCTGCCTCCCACGCCCACTTTCTGATCCCTTTTGGATGGTTTTGGAGTCTCGTCCAGGAGTAGTGGAACTTGTTTCTTTAGGTCCACCTGGATCAGTGTAGCTATTCCCAGTACCCTGCTCTCGGCCTTCCTTTTTGTAGCCTTGAGATGATGGGATGTTACTATCCACTGAAGAAGCTGGTGACACTTTATGTGGGTTCACTTTATTCAACCAATTATCAAGTTGCCATTTGTTTGTTGGTGGTGGTTCAGGCTAGAAAAACAGAAAAATATGTCTGATTTTTTTGATATTGAAGCTTTCTCCCTTCTTTACAGTCTCAAGAAAGAAGAAAAAATACAATGCCTAATGCACCAAAAGGAACCAAACCAAAGGGCTGAGTAGTATTTGGCTCTAACCACTTGAATGAGGAGATAAGCTTAATGTTACATATGGCCATTAAATAGCAAATACTAAGATTAGATTAAACATGAAATTAGATTAAGAATCTAATTTCAAAGGCATTATTACAAATGACCATATAGTATATTTAATTCTTGAAAGTAAACAAATGATGTAGCTACCAAGAGAGATTTTTAACTGCATTTCATCAGTTACAATTGTATAATACTCTTTTTATTGACAATAACTACCTAATATCAATTACCATGTTAGGACGGGAAAAAATAAGAGACCACACTAAAGAAATGCAGTATTTTAGTGACCTGCAATATGACCTCAAGTAGTTCCTAATCCAGACCAAATTGTTCAAATGATAAGTAACTATCTAGGTTTCTTCCAAGATACAGTTCATTTCTTTTTGTTACAATATATAATCTTCACCTTTTATATTTGAATCAAGTCTTAATTGGACATCACCAAGGGCCTTAAGAGGGCCTATGGAAGGCAGCTCCTCCTTCCCTCTCACCTCAGGAGATGCACTCTGGGATGGCTCATTTGCCTCACTGTCACTGGAACTACTTTCACTCTCCGAATCAGATCCAGAGCTGCTTTCAGATCCACTGTGGCTACTAGAATCATCCCTGGAGTTATCTGCTCCTTCACTATTATGGTGTGAAGGTTCAGAGTTACTAAAAGAGACAAAACATAATCTTTTTTTATTTTTTAACAACAGGAAAACTTCAAGAAATCTGACAACCAACTTTATTTAAAATGTTTACTGTTGGCTTAGCTGTTACAATTCTGTGAATACAGAACTTCATTATAAACACTTTCTTTAAAAAGTTTCTGATGTGCTATTCAGCTATTAATACCCACCTTTTCAAAACAATGTGAAGTACAATGTATATACCATAAAATTCACCCATTGTAAGTGGATAATTCAATGACTTTTAATCTCTAGAGTTATACAACCACCACCACAATTGACGGTATTTACTTTTTTTTTTTTTTTTTGAGACGGAGCCTTAAGCTATCCCCCTGGGTAGAGTGCCATAGGCTCACAGCTCACAGCAACCTCCAACTCCTGGGCTCAAGCAAGTCTCCTGCCTCAGCCTCCCAAGTAGCTGGGACCACAGGCGCCCACCACAGCGCCGGCCATTTTTTGGTTGCAGCCATCATTGTTGTTTGGCGGGCCCAGGCTGGGGATTCGAACCCGCCACCTTAGGTGTATGTGGCTGGTGCCTTAGCCAGTTGAGCCACAGGCGCTGAGCCATACTTTTTTTTTTTTCAAGTTTTTTTTGAGAGTCTCATTCTTGCCCTGGCTAAAGTGCAGTGGCCTCATTATAGCTCACTGCAACCTGAAACTCCTGGACTCAAGTGATCCTCCTGCCTCATTCTCTCAAGTAGCTGGGCACTACAGGTATATGCTACCATGCCTGGCTAATTTTTCTATTTTTTATAGAGACAAGGTCTCACTCTAGCTTGGGCTGGTCTCAAACACTTAAGCTCAAGCCATCCTCCGGCCTCAGCCTCCCAGGCTCATAGGATTACAGGCACGAGACACTGTGTCCCACCAATATCTACGTTATAAGGCCATTTATTATATCCCTATAATGTTATCAGGCTATCTCCAACCCTTTAAATAAAACAAAAAAAAAAATAAAAGGATCCTTACCTTCCTGGTGTACTCCTTGGCATTGTCTTATCACAATCCTAAAATTAAAGCATCAGAAGGAAATCTATGAATGAATAAATAGTACTCTATTTGGTTAATGTGAATAATATCTGAACTTTTAACAGAAAAACTGGCTTCTCTAATACATGCATCAATGTTTACTTACTGTTTTTACCTAAAAAAATAACTGAATTGCTAGCAAAAGATCAAAAGTTTTGTTAATAGTTCTTTTTGTCAATTAACTTCATACTTCCTAAGTATGTTCTAATCCATGATAAATGTTAAGGAAAAGCCAATTTTTAAGTAAGAGGAAAAAAAAATGGAGATTTAAAGACAGAAGAGAAAACGACAACATTCTAGCGTTAGAAAGTTTATATGAAGAAACTTATTTTAAATAACTGAATTATAAGTGTATTATTCAATTATAATTTTTATAAAATATAATGAAAACAAATACTGTGAGACTATCAAAATCATATTGTAATACACGCACCTGTTCCCCATCACTGTCTTCACTGCTGCTTAGTTTTAAGTCATCTTTTAACATACTAGAGGGAACAGGCAGAAAGGATTATTATTGTTGCAACATTTTTTCATGGTATATCAAAGTATTAATATCAACCAATAATTGTAGAAATAATCACTTTGGTAGCTAAAAATGTAATTCAAAAACAAAAAAACTTAAGTTTTATACTAATTGGTTTGATTCATAATCAGAGCAAAAATTGAGAAAGGAGGGATTTAATCATTAGATAAGCTCTAACCTTTCTATGAATAAAATATTTACCTTTTCAAATTAAACAAAAGCCACGTTCTGTGTATCTCTAACTTTTCTCTAATTGTACACACACATATTCATTACCATCAAACAATTAACACAGTCATACCCAACAGTCCACTAGAGCAATATTAACTCCTAAAGAGAAGGAAGATAAAATAACACCCAACAATTCTCTTTGTTCCCAATGTCCCATAAAGAGCGGTCTGTATAACTGCTGATGACTGGCTAACTGTGAAAACCAAAATGCAATTTCCCAAGCCAAAGATCTAGTTCATAAATGTCTTCCTAAGAAAGATAACTTGTAAAAAAAAAAAAAAGGCTCGGCGCCTGTGGCTCAAGCGGCTAGGGCGCCAGCCACATACACCTAAGGTGGTGGGTTCGAATCCCCAGCCTGGGCCCGCCAAACAACAATGATGGCTGCAACCAAAAAATGGCCAGGCGTTGTGGTGGGCGCCTGTAGTCCCAGCTACTTGGGAGGCTGAGGCAGGAGACTCGCTTGAGCCCAGGAGTTGGAGGTTGCTGTGAGCATGATGCCATGGCACTCTACCCAGGGGGATAGCTTGAGACTCCGTCTCAAAAAAAAAAGAAAAAAAGAAAGATAACTTGTGTTCTACAGATGTAAAAATTGGGTGTAAAAGCCTTGGCTTGGCTATATAGCAGAAATGACCATGAATGTATTTTTGAAACTCCAGGTTCCAAATTTTTTTTGATTAAAATTCAAATCAATTAGGGCAGTGTCTGTGGCTCAAAGGAGTAGGGTGCTGGCCCCTTATGCTGGAGATGGCGAGTTCAAACCCAGCCCCCAGCCAAAAAAACCCACAAAAATTCAAATCAATTAAATAACATGTAAAAGTACTGAAAGCTGATAGTTTCTAGAATTTGTTTTTGAAAGTACAATTAAAGATTTAAATTTTCCTTAGGGCCATAAAGCCAAAACTATTAAATTTAAAAGCTATTAAACAACCCACAAAACATTCCTTGTCTTTTCACAGGAGAGGCAAAATTAATACAAAGCTAAGGGAGAAGAGTTAACTAGAAAAATATTTTATTTCTCATTACCAATAATAATTCCATTACCTTTCTTTATTTCCCAATCAGTGGGAAGGAAATCTTCTTTCACTCTAATAACTACTTTTGCTTTCCCCTCAAAGTTTAACATACATTTCTAAATTTGATCCTAAATTAAAAATATTACACAAAAAATTACCTCAAAAAAAAAAGGGGGGTGGCACCTATAGCTCAGTGGGTAGGGCACTGGTCACATACACCCAGGCTGGCGGGTTTGAACCTGGCCCAAGCCAGCTAAAATAACAACAATAACTGCAACAAAAATATAGCCAGGCATTGTGGTGGGGGCCTGTAGTTCCAGGTACTTGGGAGGCTGAGGCCAGAGAATCACTTAAACCCAAAAGTTTGAGGTTGCTGTGAGGTGTGATGCCACATCACTCTACTCAGGGTGACAGCTTGAGACTCTGTCTCAAAAGAAAAAAAATTACCTCAAAATAAAGTAACCACATGATTACAGAATTATGAAAAGTATTTTAAGACTGGTCCAATTAAATGAGATGGGAAAAAAATTTTCTTTTGGACAAGGGCTTAGTGAATCTCTATGACTGATTTCCTCTAAAGAAATGTACTTATTCTGAATTCTCTCAGCCCTTATGATTTATTAATGGCAGTTCAATGAACCTGTTTATACATGTAAATATGTTAAAAGTTTTCCCAGACTGCTCATGTCCCTGTATGATTTTGTTCCCTCACCAACTAACCGTGATATGCACATATATAGCAGGTATATATCAGTTCTTTGCATATGAATAAATATAATAGGACTATAATTTGAATTCTTCAGCAGTGAGGGGGGATATCTTAAATTCAAATATTTTCAATCTCACAATCTCACTTTGTTCTTTCTCTATTCAGCAGACATGGTTACCAAGCTGAAGTCATCACAAAATAGTTTTCTAGAATAGAAATAGAATTCTATTCTTAAAATAGAATTCTTTAGAATTCTGGTAAATCATTGAATTAACTTATGGTCTTACGAATTGAGGAGATCATTCTTTTTGTTTTTTTTATTGAGACAGAATCTCACTTTGTCACCTTTGGTATAGTACCGTGGAGTCATAGCTCATAGCAACCTCAAACTCTTGGGCTCAAACTATTCTCTGGCCTCAGCCTCCCGAGTAGCTGGGACTACAGGCAGCCGCCACAGTGTCTGGGCATTTTTAGAGATGGGGGTCTCACTCTGGCTCAGGCTGGTCTCCAACCCGTGAGCTCAGGCAATCCACCCACCTCGGCCTCCCAAGTGCTACGATGACAGGCATGAGCCACCTTGCTCAGCCCAGGAGATCATTCTTTTAGGTGACATTTATTATCAAGCAATACACCACCCTATTACATCAATATTTATTCCGAGTTCTGCCTGTAAAACAAAAATAAGAAGGCTCGGCGCCTATAGCTCAA